AGGGAGGGAGGGAGGGAGGGAGGGACGAAGGCGGGATGGAGGAGGGAGGGAAGGAAAGAGGCCAGGAAGGAGGGAAGGATGCGGGAGGGAGGGAGGAGAGAGGGACGGAGGGATGCGGGACGGAGGGGTGGAGAGATGCCGGAGGGAGGGATGCCGGAGGGAGAGGGCGGGAGGGATGGAAGGATGCCGGAGGGAGGGACGGAGGGATGGAGGAGGGAGAGAGACGGAGGGAGGGACGCCGGTGGCCCGCGGCGACGCGGGCCGGACACACGGACGCCCCCTCACCTTGTTGAGCCATTCCGCCCGCTCCACATCCGGGAAGCTGACCTGGGGGACAGGGGGGCCCGTGCCTCAGTTTCCCCAACCGCCCGTGCCACCCCGCGCAGCCCCGTCACCCCCCGCGGATCCCGAAACGGGGGGTCCCGGTGGGGGGAAGTCCCGGGAAAGGGGGGTCCGGCCCCCTCCCACACCGCGGGGAGGGCCGGGCAGGAAACGGCCCCCCCGGGCCCGGTGAGTCACGGCACTGCCGGAAGGCCCGGGCGGTACCGGGGCTGTCCCGTCGCTGCGGGAAACGGAGCGCGGGGACCCCGCCCGGGGCGGCCACGGGGGGGTCTCGGTGCGGCCCCGCCCCACCGGGAAAGCCAAGGAACGGCTGGAGAGCAGCACCGGCAGCGGGGCCCGGAGATTCCCGGGGGGGCTCTGGGGGTCCCGGGAGTCCCGAGCGGTGCAGAGAGAAGGGAGACGGACCGTGGGTCCCGGGGGTCCCACCGGGAACCGTGCGGTGCCTCGGGGTCCCCCCTGCCGGGGACAACTCCGTCGGGGCTCGCTGCGGTTACCGGGGGTCCCCGGGGGTCGCGGCAGGTGCGGCAGCGAAGCGCGGGGGGTGCGCGGGGCTGGGAGGGGTCCCCAGGTGCGCCAAGCGGGACCCGGAGCGGAGCAAAGCACCGGGACACCCCCGGGGCTGCGGGGAGCTCAAGCGGTGCCCGCAGCGCGGCAGAACCGGGGGAACCTCCGGGGGTCCCACCGGGGGAGAGGGCGGGGGGGCTGCGCTTCCCAACCCCCGCGGGTCCCAGCGGGGGAGAGGCGGTGCCCGGTGCGGGGATCCGGTGCCCGGTGCGGGGATCCCGCCGGGGTTCCCCGCGGGCGATAACGGCGCTGCGGGGCCTTACCCAGGCCGGCAGCTCCCCGCGGGCCGCGCCCAGCCCGGCGGCGGCGGCGCGCACGGCCGCTTCTTCTTCGCGGTGCAGCCGCTCGGCCGCGCGCATCCCGCGCTCCCGGGCGCGCCGCCGCCGCCGCCAGCCCGCGTAGAGCGCCAGGGCGAGCACGACGGCGCCCGCGCCCAGCCCCAGCAGCCCCGCGGCGTAAGCGGGCAGCGCCCAGAGCAGCCGCCGACCCAAAGCGCCCAGAGCCGCCAGCCCCAGCCCGCTCCGCCGCTCCATCGCCGCCGCCGCTCCGCTCGCGTAGAGCGCCAGGGCGAGCACGACGGCGCCCGCGCCCAGCCCCAGCAGCCCCGCGGCGTAAGCGGGCAGCGCCCAGAGCAGCCGCCGACCCAAAGCGCCCAGAGCCGCCAGCCCCAGCCCGCTCCGCCGCTCC